GTGTATATATATATATAATAAAGCAATAGAGTGATGCTTATGAGAAGCTCAAAAGTTTTGCATAACATTTGATATTCAATATACTATTAATGGCTAATGCAAGAACTTAATAGTAATTAATATAAGAAAACGTTTAGGAATATAGGAATATAATAAGTGAACTTTAATAGCAATTATAACTCATAAAACTACTCATTTAATTATAAGGAACTTATGGGACAATGGAAGTTGGAAAATGTATGCTTGGAGTAGAAAAATAATTTAAAGATAATTTTATTCATTTGAAATATTCTCCAACTTTCCAACATATGCATCGAACGCTTTGGAAGTATACTCGCCTCCATTATCGGATCGGAGACATTTCAACTTCTTTCCTGTTTCACGTTCCACCGAGATGTGAAATGTCTTAAAGCTCTCGAACACCTGATCCTTCGTAATCAGGAAATACACTCACACTTTCCGAGAAGCATCATCGATAAAAGTCAGAAAATATCTGCTTCCACCGATCGATTCCACCTCGAAAGGACCACAGACGTCGGAGTGTACCAAACTTAACGACTCTGATCTTTTAGCTGAAGTAGAACTAAATGATACTGTATGATGCTTACCAAACAGACAATGACTGCAAGGACCCAGTGCAGCATTCTTGTCGATGTTGATAAGGTTCTTCTTGATCAAGGTAGTCAACCCTTTCTCACCGATGTGGCCGAGTCTCAGGTGCCACTGATTTTGAGAAGTCCCCTCAGCAATGTTGAGGCTATCCGTACAAATCCTCAAATGGGTTTTGTACAATGTGCCACAAACATGTCCTCGAGCGATTGTCAAAACGCCCTTTGACATTTTCCAGGTGCCCCTGTTAAAGTGGTTTTCATACCCTTGTTCGTCAAGACATACCACTGACAGGAGATTAAGTCGAAGGTCTGGAACATGTCTGACATCCTTCAAAGTGATTATGCTCCCAGTACTCGTCTTTATTTGTACATCACCAATTCCAGCTATTCCAGAGGAACTGGAATTGCCCATCTTCACTGCTCCAAAGTCTCCATCTTTGTAAGTTGTGAAGTAGTACCTGTGGGGAGTAACATGGTAGGATGCTGCAGTATCTACCACCCATTCAGTGTTCTCTCTTGAGACGTGAAGGCATGTTTCATCATTGATAGTACAATACGCTACATCACCTGAGATTGTGATAAGCGCTTCACCACCCTTGTTCTTCGCTTGAGAATTGCTCTTGCCTCGCTCCTCTAGCAATTTGTAGCAATTCTTCTTCATGTGACCCTCTATACCGCAATGGTGGCAGGTATAAGAAGGTTTCCGGCCATCCGAAGATCTCCCCTGACTTTTGCCTCTGCTTTGCCACTTTCCTCTACTGTTTCTTTGTTGTTGTTTTTTTGTGATCTTCCTCTATTCTCTGTCACAAGGGCATGCATGAGTCTTATCTGTGCTCATGTCTTTCCTTCTTACCTCCTCGTTGAACAGTGCATCCTTGACCACAGACATGGTAAGTTTGCCATTTGGGGCTGAGTTGCTGAGAGTAACAACTAGTGTCTCCCAACTATCAGGAAGGGAACTAAGAAGTAGTAGAGATTGCATTTCATCTCCAAGTGGCATTTCTACACAAGATAATTGATTTACCAGACTCTGAAATTAACTAGTATGTTCAGCAACAGAAGTTCCACTTTTGAGCTTCATATTGACAAGACGCCTCATCAGTAAGGCCTTGTTCCTAGCGGTCTTGGCATGTACATATCTTCTAACTTCTCCCAAAGGGCATAAGCGTCGGTTTCTTGTGCAACATGGTGGAAGACACTATGGTCAATCCATTGTCGAATTTGACCAATAGTTTTTCTATTAATTTTCTTCCACTCCGTTGACTTGGCCGGGTCAGGATTAATACCTTTCATCTCTATTGGATAAAAAAGGTCTTTACAGCTAAGGAAATCTTCCATCCGAGATTTCCATAGCGTGTAGTTGGTAGCCGTGAGCATAATCATAGCTCCGGAAGATGAAGTTGACTCGTCAAAGGTCATTTTCACCTTTTAAATAATTTTGATTTTCTGTTTCAGAAAAATCGGAGCAGAATTTCGAAAAACGGGCAGCACCGTTGCGTCCGGAACGACCGAAAATGGTGGGTAGGCACTTTCGGGGTCAAAATACAATTTTCGAAAAATCATAGGCCGAAATTATAATTTTTCAAAAATTGAGGGACCAAACTGCAATTTTTCAAAATTTAAAAACTGACCGGTGACGTGGCAGATGATGTGGCACTGACTGGGCGATGACGTGGCAGCTGACTGGCCGCAGGTGAAAGGTGGCAGTTGACTGATGGCGAGGCGGCTGACTGTGCTGGGACTGCACATGTGGCGCTGACGTGTCGCTGACCCAGCTCTGGCTAGCTGATGACGGCGGCGATGACGTCAGCCGTCTTCTACCTCTGGACTGCGCGTGATGACGTCAGCGATGACACAGTTAGTTTTTGGCCGGCGTTTGGCGGCGCGTACGGCAGCTTCCAGTGGCCAAAAAATTCCCCAAAAATATCAGTTTTCTCGTCTCGACGAGATGAATCCAACGGTATATTCAGATTGCAATTCCGAGCAATACTGAAAAACTCGATTTTTCAGGCAGTAGAATTTTGTCTGAAAAAATCTCGGAAAAATATCAAAACCTCAACCAGACTCTGATACCACTTGTTGGGAATAACAGGATCGTGCTAATATGAGAGAAAAACACTTCCATTACTTTCAAGAATAGAAAGAAGAGACATACAAGCTCTAACTGAAAACTCTCAAAACAACACCTCGCATATCTCTCAAGGATATTCACAACTCTTCTTGGTTGTGCTATGATGGTGTATTCTAATTTACTTGATCTAAATTGCTTGATGATAGAAAACTCTCCAAGCTCTCTATTTATAGTACCAAAACAAGGTAGTATGAAGGTGGGAGGAAGATATGTTGAAGCTAGGAGGAAGCTTCAATGGAATATGAGGAAGCTTCAATGGTGGTTGAGGAAGCTCCCCTTGTCATTCTTGCACATGGAGGAAGCTTCATGGAAGCTATGAATTGGATTCTTCAATTTGCTTGTACTTAGATATGACCTGGAAATTGAATTCTTCATAAATAAATTACCAGACAAACCGCGAAATGCAAGAAAAGAGAATAATAATAATTAGAATAAATGGAAAATGAATTAAGAGAAAAGATAAGAAAAACTTATGGCAGGATCGCCCGTTAAAACGGACTGGCCTTAAGAAAGATAGCCCTCGTATCCCGATCGCTACTCAGACGGGTCTGACTAACTCGTTCCTAGGATAATCCTACTCCGTTTCAGACTTGTAGCTACCTTGATTGAAACATTGGACCATTGCCAAATTTACCGAATAATAGAGTTGGCTTCAACAACTAATGAAACTAATCCTCTCAAACTATGCATTTCTTTTTAGAATGAAAAGAAGCTACGGATGAAAGCTCATTAAAATAAAAAGGTTGGTTGGTCTCGTGAGTGTCCAAAGAGTACTGGAGATACACGTAGCTTCTCTATGTGAATTAACACCCTCCATGCAAAGGGTGTCCACTACATATATATTCCAAAATGAAAGAAGCAGGGGAAACGTTTATAACTTAATAGAAATCAAATTCTTATTAAACCTGAGAGTTTGAACGGCAATAGCATTACTACGGAATTCAAGTGTTCATAACGGATCCACATTTAAGAATCTCATTACTAGTATTAAGGATAGCTATTTTGAATTTGAATTCAACATCACAATCCTATCAACTATTACATTATCCGCTAGGCTGCTTGTTTCTATTATTAAAATAAAAATCGGTTTAGTTCTAATAAACCATAGAATCATTGTTCAAACAGTTAGAGAGTCTCTAGACTTAAGATATTAATTTCATCACTTATAATTCGTCTGATCAGACGCACATATAAATGAAAAAAATAAAATATCACATCATCTTATATGATACTTGAACAATGTTCCTTATCACATAATGATAATAAATAAATCATATGAGACTGTTTGTCCTCTAATACAGAACAAATAAATCCATTGTTTTAATACATCACTTTACAATCTTACAACTATGGATTCTAATAATAATTTAAATCCAAATATGTAAGTTGTTCTTTGATGTATTATCAGTCTCCTCTCTATATTTAATACAATTATATCTTAGGGCACAAAAATTGTGACCCTAAAAAATAATAATATTTATATCATATTTCTAACAATCCCCCACAAATCCATAGTTGTAGACTCAACTCTATGACATAGTGTGCTTTCGAATATGGTACCTTCCGGTTTGAACCAAGTTCTAAGGTTTTACCCCTAACCCCCACAGGAACTGAGTGAACAGAGTTCTTGAACTCGAACCTTGATTGTGTTGGCGTGGGATAAAAGCATCACACTAACGGCAATGGCAACGATCTATAGGGTTGACGCTTTACGGCCATGTGTCCCGATCCTGTCTCAAGAATGTTATCGAGAATTAACCCTTATTCTCTTATTGCAGCCACACAATAACATTCTCATAGCTGGGCATCTCCAAGAGTGCATTGCTAACACTATGCTATTAAAGCTCGATCCCATTCAGAGTCTTAAACTCTTACTAACTTAGCAATTTCAACATCTCTAAGGCTTTTCAAGGAATGGAACTCATACTATTGTTTTAATGAGATGCATAATTCACTCTAAGAACAAGAGGACTTGTAACGCTCCTCTCAGGGTTAAAGGAAACGTTACACTAATTTACTACTTTTAAAAAATAACTGCAATATAATGGCCATCTATTTAAGAAAATAACCCTGATAAAATCTCAAATATAACTAAAATATAGCTCCAAATAAAAACTCAATAAAATCTAGTTATCACTAGAAAATATGATAACCACCTGGATCCAGGAATTTATTCAAACTTAAATCCTCAAATAAAATAAAGTAATAACAATCTCTTAACTATAAGAACTGAAATACTGAAATATAATAATAGCTACCTGGAAGCCGCCAAGGTCGTCCCCGTTAACTCATCTTGGCACGCGTTCCACTCTCTCATCACCTTCCTATGCCTTGGCCTTGCTTTTAGTATCTGTACATGCGAAGAAAGAAACTGATAAGCTTTACGCTTAGTAAGTCACTATGGATTCACAAAAATATCTAGAAGTCTATGCCAATTTATCAATAGATAAATTTAGGCTATAAGCATGCACTGAACAAATAACTAACACATAACTTCTCAAATACATTCTGAGGGAGATCTCAAAGGGAAAATATTTTCTAAAATATTTTCTAAAAACTGCTAGAGATCTCAAAATTTATTTCTGAAAACATCTCTGTAAAACTCTGAAAGAGATCTCATAAACTTTCTGTAAAACTCTTTGTGGCTAATTTTAATTGTGGGCCCGTGATATGTACTCAAAGGCGCCAATCCGACAGCTCAGGGGAACGACCCACTAAACATATTGAAATATGAGGGAACTTGTTCCCGAGTACATATCACCTTATCTTTCACTTTAAATATTAGTTCTTTTTATGGTGACGTTTGACTACAAATAAACACCATTAAATCTGAAAACAAAAGTACTGACAAATCTTGACTATGCCAAATAATAAGCATAACTTAATTCAGCAACTAAAATAACTCATCACATAATTCACCTAGTTCACATAATAGCAAATAGTCTAAAATCATCCATTAAAAATCAACCAGACTTCTTTCTTTTATTGGGTTGAACAAACATTTACAGGTGGTAGTGAACTTACCTGTCAAAGCTGAACTCAAATTACTCGGATATGGATGGCACCTTGATAACGTCTTCCGGTAAGCTCTTCTTAAAACTCTCAACTTAAATATACAATATAATTAGAATTTACTGGAGGAAGAAAATCCTTTCTTACTGCTAAGATCAAAAAAAAATTATCACTATGTGCGCAGGTGCACCATCTCAGAAATCACGTTGCTTATGTGGTTTACAAACTAGTGGAACCTAAATTGAACCAAAAACTGAAAACTCTCCATATCAACTCCAAACTGAAACTTTCTGAATTAACACCAAACTGAAATTTTCTATATTAACTACTGACTGCTGGACGGCTACTTCATATTAACTGGTGGAAATTTACTAAACTAAAGTTTAGTTTAAGTGTTTAACACCCGAACTAACCAGCCCCTTTAAAGTTTAAAGTCAAAATTTGAATTAAAACACTAAGGTGTTAATGCTGATTCCAAAAGAAGGATAAAATCTGCTAAATCATAAAATCACGTAGTGGAAGAATAGGCTGCAGATAAAATTTTAAACTAATGATTAATTTTGCAAAATTCGCATCTCTGTTTAAGATGCCTCTAATTAAACTATAATAGCAAAAACTCAGCCACCATCATCTATACTCACAGAGGTAAGGAAGAACGATTACAGAGAAAGAAATAATCATAGCTGATTGAAGATGTTATAATCTGAATGATTCTGGGAGAAAGAATCTAAGAGTTCAAAGAGAAAAGAAGAGATGGAGGTAATTTAACAGAGGAAAAAGGAATTCAGCTTACCTTGTTAAAGGATGCATAACGACAATCTGATTAAATCTTTGGCCAACAATTTGAGAGTTGGAAAGAAAGCTTCCAGGATGGAAGAAACGGCCGGTAGCAGCTAAGGAAAAGAGCCGATCCTCAAAGGTTTACGGTGGTTATATATTCTATTTTGCCAACTTAACTGATTCGGGCCTCTAATTATCTTTAAAATAATTGCTTCTAAAAGCATTTTCTTCTTTCAATAAAAATGATTAAACCATAAAATGTTTTTTTTTACTTAAATTTATTATGAGCTTACCGGTCCACGTTACCTGTCAAAACAAACATTATTCATAAAATAAATCTTATTTAACCGACTAAATAAAATAAAAGATTAATGTAACTAGATCGCTAAATTCGGGGTGTTACAGATATTTACCACAATGCAAACCCAAGGAAATAGTTCCTTTCAAGTATCTTAATACTCTATCTAAAGCCTCCCAATGAGTTCTGTTTGGACAGCAAGTGTACCGACTAAGTTTAGACACTGAAAATGCAATATCAGGTCTAGTACAGTTAGCTAAGTAACCCAAGCTACCAATCATCTGAGAATATTTTAATTGAGACACAGGAACACCACTTTCATTTTTATACAAAGCTACAGACAGATCATAGGGTGTTTTAACAATTCTACAATTTTTAAATCCAAATCTATCAATTAATTTTTCAATATAATGAGACTGGGAAATAGAAATGCCTTCAGTTGATCTATTCAACTTTAGTCCAAGAATTACTTCCGTCACCCCCATATCCTTCATTTCAAACTTTGTTTTCAAAAATGACTTAGTCTAAAAAATAACATTATTATAGTGCCAAATAATAATATATCATCAACATATAGGCATAAAATAATACTTACATCACCTTTACATTTATAATAAACACTTTGATCAGCATCTATAAGAGTAAATCCAAACGAAGAAATTATTTTATAAAATTTTTCGTTACATCACCTTTCGTTCCATATAAAGACTTAACTAATTTACAAACTTTTCTCTCATTGCCTTTTGCCACAAATCCCTCAGGCTGATCCATATAAATTTCTTCTTCAGGGTCACCATGAAGAAAAGATGTCTTAACATCCATTTGATGAATTTTAAGACCATACACGGATGCCACTACTATAAGCATTCTTATTGTGGTCATTCTTGCAACCGGAGCATATGTATCGAAAAAATCAATACCTTCTTTTTGTTTGTAACCCTTAGCAACTAATCTGGCCTTATATTTATCAATGGTTCCATCTGGTTTTAACTTCTTTTTAAAAATCCATTTATATCCAATAGTAGTACAACCAAGAGGAAGGTCGACGAGCTCCCATGTTCCGTTTTGAACAATAGAGTCCATTTCACTTTTAATGGCATCCTTCCAATACATGGCCTCAGTCGTGGCCATCGCATCTCTAAAGGAAATTGGATCACCCTCAATATTGTAAGTGATAAAATCACTTCAGAAATCCTTAGTGATCCTAGCTCGTTTGCTTCTTCTCGGCTCATCTAGATCATCTGATTCAAAATCAATATGACTAGAACTACCAGATTCTACCCCCACATTTGTCATCTTTTCCACTTGATCAGGAATTGAATTAAATGTAGTTTCTTTATGTTTAAAAGAAGTGTTTTGGGGCACACCCGTTTTCATTGGAAAAACATCTTCAAAGAAAGTAGCATCACGAAGTCCTACAATAGTGTTAACATCTATGCCGGAAATTTCAGATTTAATAACCAAAAATCTCAATGCATAAGAATGTTCAACATAAGCAATAAAAATAGCATCAACAGTATAAGGCCTAAGTTTCTTTCTTTTGTGTTCAAGGACTAACCCTTTTGCAAGACAGCCCCACACTTTAAAATATTTCACACTTGGTTTTCTGCCTGTCAAGAGTTCAAATGGACACTTATCTGTATGTTTCATGGGAATCCTATTCAAAATATGGCAGGCCGTATTCAAGGCTTCCCCCACATAAATTTAGGTAATCCAGAATTCTCTAATAAACTGTTAATCATATCTTTAAAAGTTCTATTTTTCCGTTTAGCTACTCTATCCTTTCAAGGATTTCAAATGGACCAATGTATCTGGGGTTAAGCTTTCCCCTCGATATAAATCAGATGATACCCTTCCAAGGAGAAATCCTTAGGAAGACCTTATCACCAACCTCGAACTCCAATGGCCTTCGTCGTTTGTCGGCATAACTCTTCTGCCGATCTTGGGCAGTCCTGAGTCTATCCTGAATGACTTTCACCTTAGCCTTGGTGATTTCAACCAGTTCAATCCCCTCGAGCTTGGCCTCGCCAACCTCGTCCCAACACAATGGTGTTCTGCATTTCCTCCCATACAATGCCTCGTACGGAGGCATGCCAATACTCGCCTGGTAACTGTTGTTATAGGCAAACTCGACTAGAGCCAAATGCTTGTCCCAACTGCCTTGGAACTCCAGAGCACATGCCCTAAGCATATCTTCCAGAATCTGTATCACCCTCTCGGATTGCCCATCCGTCTGTGGGTGAAAAGTTGTGCTAAACTTTAGCTTCGTACCCAAAGATGCTTGAAACTTTGGCCAAAATCGGGATGTGAAACGTGGGTCCCTATCCGAGACAATGGATATCGGGACTCCATGTAGTCTCACAATCTCCTCCGTGTATAGCTTTGCCAATCTTTCAAGAGGATAAGTAATGTTGATAGGCAAAAAGTGTGCACTCTTGGTGAGCCTATCAACCACTACCCATACCGCATCATAGTTGTTCACTGTTCGTGGTAGCCCCACCACGAAGTCCATGGTCACATGCTCCCACTTCCATTCTGGAATGGTCAGTGGCTGCAAAAGCCCTGCCAGGTGCTGATGCTCTGCCTTAACTTGTTGGCAAGTAAGGCATCGACTCACGTACTCTGCGATGTCCCTCTTCATACCCGACCACCAGTAACTTTCCTTCAAGTCTCGGTACATTTTAGTACCTCCTGGATGCATAGCATATGCCGAAGAATGAGCCTCCTCTAGTATAGACTTTTGGAGCTCTTCACTCTTTGGTATGCATACACGGTTTTTAAACAATAAAAGACTGTCATCACGTACCCGAAAGTTCTCCACGGGTGCTTCAAGGATCCTCTCACGGATCTTCTGACATTCCTCATCAGTGGCCTGACATCTACTGATCTCACCCAGCAATGTAGGCCTAACCTCGAATCTAGCGATGAGGACCCCACTCGTGGACACCTCCACTTGTGCCCTCAAGGTTCGTAGACATGTGAGTAATGTCCCCGACGTACTCTTCCTGCTCAGTGCATCGGCCACGACGTTGGCCTTCCCGGGATGGTAGTCTATGATCAAGTCATAGTCCTTGATCAACTCCATCCATCTCCTTTGCCTCATATTCAACTCTTTCTGAGTGAATACGTACTTCAAGCTCTTATGATCAGTGAAAATGTGACATGTCTCCCCATAGAGGTAATGCCTCCAAATCTTCAGTGCAAACACTACCGCCCCCAACTCTAGGTCATGGGTGGGGTAGTTCGCCTCGTGTTTCTTCAATTGCCTAGAAGCATAGGCAATCACCCGACCGTTTTGCATTAGTACACATCCAAGCCCTTGGATGCTAGCGTCACTGTATTTGTCATACCCTATCCCTTGTGTGGGTAGAGCGAGTATCGGTGCTTCTGTAAGCCGTTTCTTTAGTTCGAGAAAGCCTTTCTCACAATTGTCGTCCCATGTGAACTTGGCCCCTTTCTTTGTGAGCTTTGTCAATGGAGACGCCAATACGGAAAATTTTTCAACAAACTTACGATAGTATCCCGCTAAGCCAAGGAAACTACGTATCTCTTTCACATTTTTGGGTCTCTCCCAATTCATAATGGCTTCTATCTTGGTTTTATCTACTGCAATGCCCGAACCCGATACGACATGCCCAAGAAACCCAATCTCCTTGAGCCAAAACTCACATTTAGAGAACTTTGCAAAGAGTTGTTTTTCCCTTAGCCGTTCGAGTACAAGTCTCAAATGGTCTTCGTGCTCCTTTTCACTTTTGGAGTATACTAGAATATCGTCAATGAATACTATCACAAATTGATCTAAGTATTCACTAAACACACGGTTGATCATGTCCATGAACGCCGCCAGTGCGTTGGTTAGACCAAATGACATCACCAAAAACTCGTAGTGACCATATCTAGTGCGAAATGCACTTTTAGGTATGTCACTCTCCTTTATCTTCAACTGATGATACCCCGACCTTAAATCAATCTTCGAGAAGACTGTCGCCCCTCGAAGTTGATCGAACAAGTCATCAATCCTCGGTAAAGGATACCTGTTCTTGATTGTGACCTTGTTCAACTGTCGATAGTCGATACACATCCTTAGTGTGCCGTCCTTCTTCTTTACGAAGAGTACAGGTGCTCCCCATGGTGAATGACTGGGTCTAATGAACCCGTTGTCCAATAGCTCTTGAAGTTGAACCTTCAACTCTTGAAGCTCGGCCGGTGCCATTCGATAAGGAGGAATCGAAATGGGTTTGGTTCCCGGCTCCACTTCAATCACGAATTCGATCTCCCTGTCGGGTGGAAGCCCTGCTAAGTCTTTGGGGAAGACATCCGGGTAGTTGCACACGACACGCACATCGTTGATGTCAACCTCCTTCTTTGTCTCGTCCACCACATAGGTAAGGTATGCGTGGCATTCCTTCCTTATCATTTTCCGTGCCCTCATCACGGATATTATACAACTATGAGATCCTCCCCGATCTCCCTCGAAACGTAGAGTGTTTCCCTCAGCATCCTCAAGTTCCAAAACCTTGGCATAACAATCCACTCGAGCATGATGTTTCTCGAGCCAATCCATCCCTAGAATTGCATCGAATTCTAACATACTTAGAGGTACGAAGTCACAAGTCAAAGGTTGACCCGTCACTTTTACCTCACACGAAGGGTATTAGTGTTTCCTCTCCACACCGTCTTCCAACGGTGTAGAGACCAACAAGGGTTGTGTCATTACTATCAACGGCACGTCTAAATTTTCGGCAAACGCTTCACTCACGAATGAACGTTGAGCCCCGGTATCAATGAGAATTCTTGCGTTTCTACCATTGATCTTTAATGTTCCTACATAT